TGCCACAACAATCATGTACATAAAAGAATAAGTGCACCGGATAATTTTGTAATTGTAAATTTGTATGAAAACTGTTTTTGACGTATTGCACCAATTATAACTTGTGTGGTATAGGCAAACTTAAATTTGTGAGTTTATCGTTCATTTCATTTAGGCGGAAAAATATCATCGGAGCAATGAAACTTTTAGATGACTGCTCATGAAAATGCTATTATAAATTCAAAATTTGACAAAGTAGTTTCAGTCTTTGAAATAGGTATTGATGACACACATGTAATATCCCATATGTGCCACATGTATCACTATGAACATGACGGACAAAGAAAGCGGACAAAATATACAGTTCCTCATTCTACCCTCAACAATTGTTGTGGTAGACAAAGGAACATCCCTTCACTGCTATTATGTAAAAATAAGTAGAACAGGTGAATATGCATGTGACACCTGTTCTACACATTTTTACATATAGCAGTGAAGGAATGTACCTTTGTCTGCCACAATTGTTGATGGTAGAATGAGGAACTGTATATTTTGTCTGCTTTCTTTGTCCGTCATGTTCATAGTGTATGTGCAGTGTTTTCCTACTGTGTACAGTTTTCAGTAACATTGGATGTCATTATGATTTGTATATATATTATATAATCTTTTCCTTGGAAAAGTTTGTACAGTTGATATGATCCTTAATGGTTTTATTATCTAAAAAGAACTGCTCCTAGTAAACAATTTATATACTTTTTTTATTTCTTGTATTTAATAAGGTTTGTATTATTTATATTCAAAGTGTTTGTTTCGTAATTGTGACTACCGGTATTGCCTTGATTGCATTTGATATTGTTAACGTTTCTAACATGTCTATAATGTTGATGTTGTCATGGTTCTAATAACAAGTAATAACAAGTAATGAAAATGAAATAAAAGATGCTCCATCAATTAATACTTTTAAGGAAAAAAAAATGAAATTGTTTTTATTACAATCATATAAACCTCATTGAACTATATGTCGTTGTTGTTTTTGTTGAACACAAGATCACTCTCCACTCGCTGACTCAATATGTAATTTGATATATTATTATATTGTGCCTTCTCCTTTCTAATGCACATTTCTCTTTCCAATTATCTTCTTCTCAACCCCACATGCAGCTCATCATTTTGTATTATTTTCTGTACCCCCGATCTCTCACTTCTTTTTGTCATTGTCTACTCTTTGTATTATGACCATGTTTTTCTATCTTTGTCGTGTAAAGCATTGTCTCGTCCCTTTCTTGTCTATGTTGGCATTCCCATTTTTTCTTTCCATTTTGTAGTTCCTTTTGGAGTTACGGATTAGTTAATTTAATTACTCACTATACCCAAGTATCATTCTTACAAGTTATTACAAGCACTTAACATGTAGTTACGAGTAAACCACGCGTGGGGTTGTGTTAGAGTGTTTGTAAAGGTTATTTGAACTGGTTTGCCATCTGCAAACTCCAACCTGTAGGCCCGGCCCCCCCCCCCACTCAGTGTTATTTAGGGTACGCATATGCTTGTTCCCTCTTTTTGAAAGCACCCCCTGAATATTGCCAACATTTCCGAACCCCCCCTTTCGCGGGCTTTTCCTGCCTTGGAGACCCCCCCCTAAATCATGAAAAATGCTCAATGTACCCCCCTAAATTCGGAATAATTTCTCAGAAGTCCAAAGAGATGAGAGAAAAAAAGAAAAAACACCCCCTTTTTAAAGAAATTTCCGGGTGAAAAGTTAATACACCCCTTTTTTTTACAAATCTCGGGCCGGACTTTGTCGCACGAAAAGTACCCCTTTACCGAACATTTTGGTAACACGCATGGGGTCCGTCGTTTTTGGAGTGGGGGGGGGGGGGGGGGGCCGGGCCTGTAGGCCTGATGGGATATTTCATATAAGGGTGTGTGTAGGTGCAAAGCGTGGGTTGTTTGTGATGTGACATTATTTTACCAGCTCGATGTGGATATGCATGGACAAGGTTGTGTGCGAGGGTGGTCTGAATTTAGTTTTGAATATATATTTTATAATATATATTTTATATACAAATATTTCTGAAACTGATACATATTTGGGGATGCATCTTCCTTCATTAAGGTACTCCCTGATTTGATTTACACATAAATCAGAAGCACTACCATTTTATTTTATAAGGTAGGCAACTGGTTATGATACATGTACTTTTTAAACTTTAATTGATGACATCTACTATTAGAACCACCACTTCTACTTCTACTAGTATACTGCTACCAGTGCTGGTTGCAAGGTGCACATGATGGCATTGGCAGATCTGGGGGGGGGGGTGGAATACTTATTACGTCATCATTACCAATACAACACACCTTGGTTTTCCTGCATCACATCTGAACAAGGAATTCTTCTTCTCCTGGAGTCTCTATATACACAATTGCATCATTTATCCACCATCACAAACCCATTTGATTTGCAAGAAGTAAAAAATCATCAGGTACAACTTTAGAATTTGGGAGATTAGAACCGTCTATTGCATCAGAATTACTGAACTAATTTATCATTCACGTGGGTTTTAGACGGTTAACCTTTCAACCATACTTTCTTAATGTAGGGAAAGAAGACGCTAATATAAAGTCGCTTATCAATTTCTAAAATCGCCAACTCTACCGCTGTGACTGCTGTATTTCAGTAAACAGAGTTGGATAAACATTTTAGACACGTTGGGTAGAATTAAGGGAGACATGTATGTTTGTTGGGTACAATTAAAGCCAATATAAAGAAAATCTTTCATAACAGAAACGCATGTTCCCTTTTTTAACCCAACAAAGATCTTCCCCACTTATTTTAGAGTGAAGGAAGTCGACAACAAAATCATAAGCAGATTATTTATTTCTGGAAAAATTGCAAATGATAAAACAAATCATTCTGAAATTGGCATTTATAAACAGAACACAATGAAGAAAAGTTAAGAAAATTTGTGAATTTTATTGATATTGTATTTCTTTACTTACAGATCACGTACATAAGAATACACAAGCCATAATATTGTATACAACACGATCTAAAGTCTGATGACAGACAATTACACTTATGATGTGGTGAACCAACATTTCTTCTACATTTTTGTTTCGAAACAAGTTAACCATGCTTCAAACATTGTGTTACTCATCGATGTTTATTGTCATATAATGTAATCGTAATTGGCGTAAGATATTGACAATTGTGATGTCGCAATGTAAAACAGCAAAATGTTAAGATGTTTTGATATCAAATATTGCAAGAAATTATGTCACCTTGACATAAGAGAGCAAATATGATGAATCTATTCATAGAGTTTGGCAACAAATTAACTTTAATACCGGTATGAAGTATTAAAGACTGGCCATGGGGTCAAATTTCATGTCGTGTGTCACATTGTTTCTTCTGAAATTCTGCTGCCTCTTCTATATAGATTGAGATGGTTGGTTGGGTTTACCTCTCAGAGGAACTTGGTAATGAGGATCAATGCCGTACCAAAGGGCACTAGTGCATCAACTTGGTTTTGAACCCAGGACCCCCTGGTTTAGAGACCATCGCTCTACCACTGAACAACCACACCTCCTTTATGGATTGGAGGAAATTTAAAATTGGTTAACAAGATGCAATACCGCTATATGAAATTTCATGTATGAAATAATCAAGGACAGTCAGTCTACAGACTCCCCATAGGTAACCCCTATCTTAAATTCTTAAAGTCTTGTGTTCCGTTTATTGAATACACCAAAAATCTCAAAAAATTATAAAAAGTTATGATCCTGTGTTGTGTTAGGTATGATTCTGAATAGCAGGAAATATATTTATGCACAATAATATTCTTATAAGAACACAGTACTAAGGCACAAAACTGTAATGAAAATAGATTTTCACTAACTATACAGTACATGATATGTTGTTTTTGATATTACACATACCGGTAGAACTTTGTTAACAAAATATTAAATATTCGTTGTGAACCATAACACTAGCCGTCTTCTATGGCCCTGTTTAAACGTAATGCAGTAATTTTTTTTAATTGTTTTAAAGATGAAAACTCGGTGCGTAAATGACAGGCAAGAGGCAATATTTCGAGAGGTAGATCAAAAATCAAAACTCCAAAAAACAATCATCCTCATTACACATATATATTCACTGATCTGTGTGTTACAACATACAGGAATGCAAAAGAGCACAATGGTTTTGTGGTGGCAGTTTTGTTTAAAGGGGAAATCCAGCCTGATATAAAGTTGAATTTAATAGATGCCAGAAAATGAGAGGAACAGGTCTGAAAGTCTGAGCGAAATAAGATTGAAAATAAAAAAAGTTTAAATTTTTGAGGTTGTGTTCAATCAAAGACAAAATGGCAACTCTGTCTTAGATATCTTGTGAGGTTCCCTCCCATTTGCTAATGTATAATTCTATTCTCCATGAAGAAAATTTTAAATATACATCCACACCTAAGTAATTATTGCAAATACAAACCCTATATGCGAAAATATCCATTACTTCATCAATACCCGTAAGAAAGAAAATAAAGAGCGAATGAGAGAGGAGCTCGCATGATCTGCCGCAACATTGCCAATTTGTGTTTCATTGATTACAAATTGAGAAATTCATAACCTGAATATCTTTAATCAGATTTTGCTCAAACTTTCACTAAACTGTTTCTCTCATATTGCTACTTTTTATTAAAACCAACTTTATATCAGGGTGGACTTCCCCTTTAACCCTTTTACTGCTTCATATCTGAACGGACCTTGATAGCTTGTTCACACGCAACACAGGGAATTTCAGCGTTTTTTTTATTACATGTTCATGAGTGACAAGAAGGGAAGATAAAACGTAGATGCACCCAAAAAACGTCACACACATACTCATTGATTGTGTATTATGGAATACAGAAATGCGAAACATATTACTCTTATGACATTATATATTTTTTTTTTAACCCCATACCCCAACAAAAGAAATGCAGTGATTTCCGCCATATATGTGAACGGTACCTCGGTGGGGCTTATAGCTCATCTGAAGGCTTGCTGGTGGTGTGCGCTACACTGAGTGTGACCTTACCCAGTGTTTTATTCTCGTCCATGTACTGATGGGCCGCCGAGATCTCCTCCAGGGGAAAGACGCGGTCAATGATCGGCTGGAAGTGAGGTTGTTCTCCTGGGGATGAGGGTGTGAAGTGAGGGAGAGCCTTCTCGGTGAATGCCTTGACCAACTCGGCTTTGTACTGGATGGAGATAAATGGATAATGATATGTTGAATCGGGAAATGGAACAAATTCATGATTAGATTGCATAGATAGGTCCTCTTGCATAAAAAGCTGTGTTTAAAATGGGACTGCACTACTTGTAGCTATATACTTGCGCCCTCTGTAAAGCAAACAATGCCTAAGTGGTATCCGTTGGTTCTCCATGATCCTCTTTTTCTTTGGTTAATTGAGAGCTGATCTGATGAGATAACCACCTGTCAGTGACAAAGCAGGGAGGTCTAATCCCTCCTGGCCAAAGAAGTGCAGATAGGTTGTTGTTTTTTAATATTAAAAATAAAATAAAATGGAAGGTGCAAATATACTGTCCTAATTAGTTCAAAATCAAGTTGCAGTTAGTCTTGCGTTAATTTTAATCACAATCTTATTTTCCACTCAGGACCTATGACGACCACACTCTAAAAATTAAGAGATACAAGAGGCAAAAACAGAGTAAACAACAATGCTTTTGGCCCAAAAAGAATAGTGGCAATCTCTTTACTGCTTTTATCACAAAATTTACTAAGTGTTGAATATTCAGCCTAATTCAATATGTTTCATATTTCTCCAAAAATTATATAAAATTTGGGTCTACCTCTCATCAGTACATGTATGTGATTATCATTTTTGGACATGAAGATGTGGGCCCTGTTTCATAAAACTTGTTATCAATCACAAATGCTAAAAATTATTTGACAAATTTGCTCTCAGCCAATAAAACTATATAATTTCAGTAGCTTATAAAATATATGTAAATATACATATACATATTAGTTCAGAAATTAGTTCAAAATCAAGTTGCATTTAGGTTTTGTGTTACTGTTAATCATAACCTTTTGTAAACTTAGCAGCTATGAAAACCCGATCTCTAAAAATTAAGAAATACAAGAGGCAAAACAGAGTAAACAATGATGCTTTGGACATGTGTCAATCTTGTTTCTGCTTTTACCACAAAATTCATGCAATAGTTGAATACTATATCTCAATTCATTAAGTTTTATATTTCTCATAAAAATCTTTAAAAATTGGGTCTACCTCTTTTCAACAGTAAGTGATTAGTGTGGGAACTAAGAACTGGGGCCTGTTTCGTAAAAAATATCGTACCTGATCAGATCTTGGTCTGAGCGTAGTGCCTCGAATGCTGATGCGTTTACGAAGAATGTCACCCAGTAGGGCGCCCTCTACATTCCGTCCACCCATCAATCCATACAGCACCCATGTACCGTCAGGAGCGAAGGCCTTCACATTCTTTTCCCAGTATGATCCACCAACGCAGTCCAAGATGATGTTTACGCCTTTTCCTAGGATGGAATTGTCAAATACGTTCTCTTGATTATTCACGATATGTGTAATAATAAAAAATTATTCCGTTTTAACCAGCAGGAGCAATATTTTTTGTTTTGAATCAAAATCATATGGTCAAAATAAATATATTAAAAATCATGTTTGTATCACATCTACCATGAAAAAAAAGAAGAAAGTACCTGTCTATTTCCCTAATTAGATATAATGCAGAGCATTGATATAAATAAAAGAGGAAGGAAAATAGATTTTGTCTGCTAAATATTCACATTAAAGATAAAGACCAGTTATGGTCATGCGATTGCATTGTGAAAGAAACGTTGTGGAATCGATCAGAAAAGGTTGATCATCTAGCATAAAAGTATTGGTGTGTACTGATAGGTTCTGGAATCATCAAAATGATGAGAAATTTGGCCCAGTCTTGGTAAAGTTACAAGCACTACACAGAAAGATGTATATGGGGCTACGCACACATGCGCGACACGTGCGTTATATTTATCAGGTCCAAATAGATATAATAATTTACCACATATATCAATTAGTAGGCGGTTTCTCAGCAAAATTTGTATGATCACGTAATAGTCAAAACATATTCTATCACATGATTGGTAATAAGGGCTTCCATTTCATTTCTTGAGAGGGGGCAGTTTCCAAACTGGTCTTTACCTTTAATGTTGTGTTATAAATGATTTTCCTAATCATAAATGGCAGAAATTTCTTAATCCTTTTAAGTTTCTTTTGTCAAATGTTTCACTAGTCATCTGTTTCTCTGATTTTCTGCTTCTACTCAAAAGAATCAATGATAATAATACTGGTAATAGGTCAATTTATAAAGTGCAGTTACTATATAAATATACTCTCCTGCACTTAATACAAGGTATCATTTTATTACCCTGCTGTAGCTGAGCAGCCATTATGAGGCGCTAAAGCATTCAAGAAATTTCTTCCTAAATCATACCGGGTACCCATGTACTTCACATAGGTAGAGAGTGGCAAATGTAGATTAATGTCTTGCCCAAGTGATCCACAGTCCTGTGACGTATTGGCAAGACCAGGGGGGTGTTTCACAAAACGTGTCATCTGTGACAAATGACAGAATTGTTATAAGCTACTGAAATCCTTGCTTCTGATTGGTTATCAGCAGACTTTTCACTGATTTTTGTTATTTGTCATTAAAAAAAAGGTTTTGTGAAGCACCCTCAGGACACCGCTTCAATCAAGGAATGTTACTTTTACTTGAAACATACCTTGAGTAACCTCCAGAACTTTCTCTGCAAAATCCACCTCCTTGTAATTGAAAGCCTCCGTTGCCCCGAGACTCCTAGCTTTCTGTAGCTTAGCCTCGGTACCAGCCGTCACGATAGGGATTCCTCCGAATTCCTTCACGAGCTGAGTGGCTGCTGTACCAACACCACTTCCACCAGCATGAATCAAGACTATGTCTCCTTTCTTCAGGCTAGCTGTAGGATGACATAATAGAAGCATGACTTGGTTGGAGTTCGATATGAAGTGTAGTGTCTGTTTGTCATGTAGTTTTCATAAATACTACATAACAAACAACTGTAACTATCATATCTGGGAAGTGTTTCACAAAGACTAGATAGACTTTAAGTTGGACTTAACTATGGCAGGCCATTCATGCCACTGGTAGCTCTCACCATTGGTCTCTCAATTATGATCTTTAGATAATATTCTTTCCTTCGATAATGTACAATGAAAAAACATAAATTCTGTAGATTTGTAACCATGACTTGTACGTCCCTTGAGAGACCAATGCCAGTAAATGGTGAGAGTGAACAGTGGCATAAACAGCCTGCCAAAGTAAAGTCCAACCTAAAGTTGATCTTAGTCTCTGTGATTAAACACCCCCTGGAGTGTATAAGACCAAATCAATGATTTCCTTAATTAGCTTTGAAGCTATAATAGGACAGCATTGGTCATGCATGCTCATCTGTCAAGCAAGACGAATATATAATCTTGTTCTCCTTTTGAAATTTACAAACATATATAGAACCTTATCTAGGAATTATACGTTCAGATACAGTCTACTGTTGGATGTTCTTAACTGAGCAAATTGGCTGTATCACAATAATCTATCTCTGATGAATCAATCCGAAAAATCAACACCAGGGTGGCATTTCACAAAACTTGTCATCAGTGACAAATGACAGTTTTTGTTATAAGCTACTGACATCTTTGCTTCTGATTGGTTATCAGCAGATTTGTCACTGATTTTTGTCATTTGTCATTGAAAAAAAGGCTTTGTGAAACGGGCCCCTGGCATATGATTGAAAAAAATGCAAGAGCAGGGTTTTTTTCTCCAAAATGATATTCTACTCGCATCAGACTATTACAAAATTAAAGAAATTACATTTGTAAACCCTAATAGGGTTGATCAAACCCTTTAATCACAAACAAATTACAAGTCTGAAATATATGAGGATAGGCTGAAAAATAAACATCGTTCTTAAAACACTGATTTAACATTACGACATCGATCGTAACCTATTCAACCTACCAACAAAGAATAACAACTGAAAGGCGGTCAGCCACACTTCAGGGATAGCAGCTGCTTGTTGGATGGTCAGGTGATCAGGAACAGGTATCAGGTGATCTTCATGGGCCGTTGCATACTGTGCATTGCCTCCCCCTGGAAGAAGGGCCATGACTCGGTCACCTGGCATAATATAAATGGAATTTATTAATTTTTTCAAATTTCATATTCATTTCAAATTAGTTAATACATATCATAATAAAGCTGAGATAAAACAATTTAATATTGTATACAAAAACATTAACTTTACCCCCCCCCCCCCCCCACCTCATAGAATGTTTAGGCCATTTAAGATCAAATTTTACTATAAAATGTGTACCTTTAATTTAAAAATTTACAGTAAAAAGGGCGACTAACTGGAATGCTCCCCTGGAAGTGCAGAATGTGTACATTTATTAAACAAGGGACACTTTCTTATAACAGTATTACTGCTTCAAAAATACTACATCAATCATGATTTCTATTTTCAAACAAAGCTCTTATAGAAAGGTTAGAAGACTATTAGCAGTGTTATAGCATCTACAGGAGGGGGCTCAAGCTAAATGATGTTCAAAGAATAAAAGATTCTCACCTATCTTCCACTTGCCCGGAGTGGAGTTGGCGAGATCACACACCTCCCCCGCAGCCTCTAGTCCAAATACGAGTGTTGACCCTGGGGGACAGGGTACAAACCACGCCTCTAAATACAGAAAACGTGACAGAGAAGGAACATGATAGGGCATTTGCCATGGACCAGCTAGGGTTTTATCAAACCTGCTGGTACTATTCAAATATATGTAAAGTAAGTATATGGTGTATCAGATTATTATTATACACCTGTAGCTTATTAACACTAGTGTGGCTAGGAGGGATTAGACCACATAGCGAGGTCACTGACAGGTGGCTATCTCATCAACTCAGCTCTCAAATAACATAAGAAATAAAGGATCATGGGGACCAACAGGCACCGATGGCTTTCATCGAAAGGGTGCGGTGCGGTGCGGCGCGGTGTGGTGTGCTCAACGCACCCATTCGATAAAAGAGGGGGGCCTTTTCTCGAAAGGGTGCGTTGAGAGCGGAGTACCGTTTTAACACACCCTTTCGATGAAAGCGGGGGGGCTTTTCTCGAAAGGGTGCGTCGACTAGTCTTTCGCATCAGTCGTTTAAAATGAGGATCTCGGACAGAAGGTAATAGTTGCCAATTTAAGTATATCGAAAATGTATAAAATAAAATGGAATGGTCTTGATTACAGAGTGGTCTCTTTGATGAGGGAGACAGAGAGAAGGAAAAAGGGAAAGGGAAAGGGAAGATAAAAGGAAAGAAAGAAGAATAAGAAGAGAAGAGGGAAACGGGGGGGGGGGCGAAGGACTCTTGCCCCCCCCCCCCCCCCCCCCCCCCCCGCCGCCAAAAAATAAATCAGAGAGAGAGAGAGAGATAGAGAGAAGGGAAAGGGAAAGGGAAAGAGAAGATAAAAGGAAAGAAAGAAGAGGAAGAAGAAGAAAAGTGGGAAAGAGTGAAACGGGGGAAGGGCGAAAGGGAGAGAGAGAGAGAGAGAGAGAGAAGGGAAAGGGAAATGGAAAGAGAATATAAAAGGAAAGAAAGAAGAGGAAGAAGAATAAAAGAAAAGAGGGAAACGGGGGCGAAGGGCTCTTGCCTCCTCCCCCCCCCCCCCCCGCCAACAAATAAATAGGAGAGAGAGAGAGAGAGAAGGGAAAGGGAAAGAAAATATAAAAGGAAAGAAAGAAGAATAAGAAGGAAAATTGGATACGGAGGAAGGGCGAAAGGTTCTTACCTCCCCCCCCCCACCCCCTCCCGCCAAAAAAATAAATAACAGGGAGAGAGAGAGAAGGGAGAGGGAAAGAAAATCTGAAAGGAAAGAAAGAAGAGGAAAAAGAATAAGAAAAGAGGGAAAGGGGGCGAAGGGCTCTTGCCTCTCCCTGCCAACAAATATATAAGAGAGAGAGAGAGAAGGGAAAGGGAAAGAAAATATAAAAGGAAAGAAAGAAGAAGAAGAAGGAAAGATGGATAAGGGGAAGGGTGAAAGATTCTTACCTCCCCACCCCCCCCCCTCCCGCCAAAAAATAAATAAGAGAGAGAGAGAGAGAGAGAGAGAGAGAAGGGAGAGGGAAAGAAAATCTAAAAGGAAAGAAAGAAGAGGAAAAAGAATAAGAAAAGAGCGAGAGGGGGCGAAGGGCTCTTGCCAACAAAATAAATAAGAGAGAGAGAGAGAGAGAAGGGAAAGGGAAAGAGAAGATAAAAGGAAAGAAAGAAGAGGAAGAAGAAGAAAAGAGGGAAACGGGGGCAAATAGGGCTTTTGCCTCTTCCCCCCCCCCCCCCCCCCCCCCCGCCAACAAATAAATAGTAGAGAGAGAGAGAGAGATAGAGAGAAGGGAAAGGGAAAGGGAAAGAAAATATAAAAGGAAAGAAAGAAGAAGAAGAAGGAAAGAGGGAAACGGGGGAAGGGCGAAAGGGAGAGAGAGAGAGAGAGAGAGAGAGAGAGGGAAAGGGAAATGGAAAGAGAATATAAAAGGAAAGAAAGAAGAGGAAGAAGAATAAAATGAAAAGAGGGAACGGGGGCGAAGGGCTCTTGCCTCCCCCTGCCAACAAATAAATAAGAGAGAGAGAGAGAAGGGAAAGGGAAAGAAAATATAAAAGGAAAGAAAGAAGAAGGAAAGATGGATAAGGGGAAGGGTGAAAGATTCTTACCTCCCCACCCCCCCCCTCCCGCCAAAAAAATAAATAAGAGAGAGAGAGAGAGAGAGAGAGAGAGAGAGGGAGAGGGAAAGAAAATCTGAAAGGAAAGAAAGAAGAGGAAAAAGAATAAGAAAAGAGGGAAAGGGGGCGAAGGGCTCTTGCCTCCCCCTGCCAACAAATAAATAAGAGAGAGAGAGAGAAGGGAAAGGGAAAGAAAATATAAAAGGAAAGAAAGAAGAAGAAGAAGGAAAGATGGATAAGGGGAAGGGTGAAAGATTCTTACCTCCCCACCCCCCCCCCCCCTCCCGCCAAAAAAATAAATAAGAGAGAGAGAGAGAGAGAGAGAAGGGAGAGGGAAAGAAAATATAAAAGGAAAGAAAGAAGAGGAAGAAGAAGAAAAGAGGGTAACGGGGGCATAGGGCTCTTGCCTCCTTTCTTTCCTATTCTCCCTCTTTTTCGTTTTTCTCTTTCTTTCTTTTCTTTCTTCTCTTTTCTTTCCTTTCTTTTCTTTTTTTCTTTTCTTTTTCTTTTTTTATTTTCTTTCCCTTTTACTCTCTTTTTTCCCCTCCCCCTTTTCTCTTTTTTCCCGACGGCAGCGCAATTTTACCGACAATATCCTGACAGGTGGGGGGGGGGGGGGTGTCGCACCCCCACACCCCCTTTGGAGACGCCCCTGCCTTCGCCACTGTTGGCGACCACAAGGCTATCAATACAAATTAAGACATATTAATGAAGATTTTTTTTTAATGTTGCAGAGAGATAAGTATTTTCTCTATGAACTTGTTTAATGGACAATAAATAATATTAAAAACATGAATACTATAGCGGTATAATGATGAGAGAGATGATTTAAGTCATACTTTTTTTCAATGTGATTGGAGTGGACTTGAGGGTGGGGGGGGGGGTCCCTCTAAGATCTCGGCCGTTCACAGCCGATCGCCGCGAAAATGCATATTTATGGTAATTTATGCAAACAAGGTCAGAGAATTCACATTTTTACCCATAAATCATATATAATTCATATTCGAGCGTTCTTTTTCACTTCATATATTCGTTACAATAATAATACGACAACAAAGTTGGAAGAGCCAGTTTATCCCTATGTTATCTCTTGTTTTGATAATTTGTATTTATGTATTATATTATTTTGTTATTTCATTTCATTTCTATCCACAATTCAACGATTTTTACCCAAAATCAAACACATTTACTTGAAACAAGACCAAATAACCAATGTTTTCTCTTTTTTTAAAAGAATAAATGGTATTTCCATATGTTTGGTACATAAATCACAAAAATGAGCGATTTTAGGGCTGACATGCAAAAACAAAAGGTCACGTGACTCCGCAATTATACGTCCGATTTTCAACAAAAAAATGTTTCAAAAGATGCGTAAGACTCGAAAGAAAAAAAGTCATGAAAGAAAAACTTTATATCTGCCGCGGTTCCGGAGTAGTCGCGAAATTACTAGAGAGCACTAATCTTTTTTGGAGCCCTCAAAAATTTGAAAAATCGTACCCCCCCCCCCCCCTTGAACGCCAGGGGGGGGGGGGGTATCTCCCAAAAACGGTAAAAATTAACGTGTTTTTTTTTTACACGTTTTTTTCCCAGGGCGGAGCCCTCAGAAGCTCAGGGGTATTAAACATCAAAATTAACGTCGGATGAGCATAATTTTATACCTTATTTGTGACAGTGGCAGGACACAATTTGGTGTTGGGTCCAGGGGGCGGAGCCCCCAGAAGCTCAGGAGTTTTGTCCATTAAATAATTATTATTTTATACCTTATTTGTGACACAGGGGTCACGAATTGGCGTGGGGTCCAGGGGTGGAGCACCCGGAAGCTCAGGGGTTTTGGGCAATAAATAACGGTCAGATGAGCATATTTATATATCTATTTGTGACACTGGCAGAACACAACTTCTTCTTCCTCTTCCTCTTCTTTCTTTCCTTTTATATTTTCTTTCCCTTTCCCTTCACTCTCTCTCTCTGTTATTTATTTTTTTTGGCGGGAGGGGGTGGGGGGGGGGAGGTAAGAACCTTTCGCCCTTCCTCCGTATCCATCTTTCCTTCTTCTTCTTCTTTCTTTCCTTTTATATTTTCTTTCCCTTTCCCTTTCCCTTCTCTCTATCTCTCTCTCTCTCTACTATTTATTTGTTGGCGGGGGGGGGGGGGGGGGGGGGAGGCAAAAGCCCTTTGCCCCCGTTTCCCTCTTTTCTTCTTCTTCCTCTTCTTTCTTTCCTTTTATCTTCTCTTTCCCTTTCCCTTTCCCTTCTCTCTCTCTCTGATTTATTTTTGGCGGGGGGGGGGGGGGGGCAAGAGTCCTTCGCCCCCCCCCCGTTTCCCTCTTCTCTTCTTATTCTTCTTTCTTTCCTTTTATCTTCCCTTTCCCTTTCCCTTTTTTCCTTCTTTCTGTCTCCCCCATCAAAGAGACCACTCTGTAATCAAGACCATTCCATTTTATTTAATACATTTTCGATATACTTAAATTGGCAACTATTACCTTCTGTCCGAGATCCTCATTTTAAACGACTGATGCGAAAGACTAGTCGACGCACCCTTTCGAGAAAAGCCCCCCCGCTTTCATCGAAAGGGTGTGTTAAAACGGTACTCCGCTCTCAACGCACCCTTTCGAGAAAAGGCCCCCCTCTTTTATCGAATGGGTGCGTTGAGCACACCACACCACGCCGCACCGCACCGCACCCTTTCGATGAAAGCCGGCACCGATTGGGGAATTTTTCTATATAGAGGGAGCAAGTAGCTACAAGTAGGACAGTGGGGCTTTAAACAATAGACCTGTTCACTAACATATTCAAATTTATGAATGTTTCTTTCCTGGGTAACTAGTGATGACCAGTCTGCATACATTACTTTTTCTATGTCAGGCAAGCCTCAGGCAATATTTTGGGTTGTCAAGAACAACCTTTGTTTAAAAAGTATGCATAAAATCTGAATATTTTAGTAAAGCGGTGTATTCTCAATAGAATGTATTTGCATCAACAAAGTTT